GGAGTGTTCTGTGTTATCATGAGTTGTAGTTCAAATCAGCTCGGGGGCTTTGTATGGAAGGTTTATGTTCAGAATTCAGCGGGTTAGTTATCCAGTATCGCCAGAATTCGATAATTTTTGCATTGGTGTGCAGATTGGCTTTCGAGAGTGCCAAGGGTAATGATTGTTGATGCGGTTTAGATTGGAGAAATCGTCCTTAGGACTTCAAGATTTGAGTGTGATGTCATTTTGAGCATCAGGGGTTATCAGTGCTGCTGAGGTTTCGGGGAGTGTTTAGCTGGTCTTCGGGGGTTGTGCGGTCTTTTGATTTCGGCTAGTACTGGATCACTAGCATTATGAAGTACAGGTCGTCAACATGTTGATAGGTTATAGGGATTGGGAATCCTTCCAATACTGAGTACTGTCGGGGCTTAGTCGAATCAAAGTGGGGGAGAATCGTTCGGATATCCACAATCAGAAGCAGTTGTGAAACTTGGAGGAGTTTTGCATTCATGTCGGAGAGGAAGGCGTCCTAAGTAGCCGTTTGGATTGTGGATTGTGTGAGTTGGAGAGTTCGAGAAACCTACCAAAATTGGGTTCGGGTCTTCTTGATGGTTGATAGCAGGCTTTGGGGGAACCTCCGTTAGGGATTCCAATCATTATTCGAGTTCTGTTGGGTGTTCGGTCGAGTGCATGCTCGATCCTAGATGTGTTCGAATTGAAATATTAGCGGTAATGTATTGAGCGGCAGTTGTGGTAAGACTGCGGGGTGGACCGTAGCATTCACTAGTTAGCCGTTAGTGTGGAAGTGTTGTAAGACTGCGAGGTGGCCTGTAGCATTCACTAGTGGTCAGTTAGTGTGGAAAGTATTGTAAGACTATGGGGTGGCCGGTGGCATTCACCGGACCCTGTGCAGCGGTGATATTGTGGAAAATTTGTGACTTGATCACAAATTTCTTCAGATGGTTTAGGCCAAGGTGGGTCTGTTCGAAAGGTTGTGGGAGGGCCATAACAAGTTTAGATTCAGGAATTGGTAGGTGGTGGGATATAGGGTATGACGTAAGACGACAATTGGTTCTGTAGCATTTAGTTTAACATCGAGTTTGGTATCGAGATGGTTCGGGTAATTATTGTCAGTTGAGGTTTTCTTTCGGAAGTCACATGGGGCGACTGTGGGAGTGTCTTTTGCTCAGCAGTCGGGCGGGAATTAAGTATAAGTATTCTGTAGCAGGTCTCGACTGCATGTGGGTAGCAGCCAGGAGGCAACATGGTGCTTCGGGCCGTAATTGTGATTTGAGGTTTCATGTGGGATTGGGATAACGAGTTGTTTGGGAAATGCTAAGTCACTCGCAATGGGATTGAATAATCTTAGAGTAATTGATTTGACCCTGTTCTACAGCTCTCGTCAAAGTCTAATCGTTGCAGGGATGAATCTCCTACTCGAAGGATTACCTGAGCCTTTTGTCGAGTATAAGTATTCTTAGAAGTATTTGGTCAGTGGCAATGTTCCCTTGGAAGTAGCGATGTGGTCGGGGATCGGAAGCATTCTATTGGTACGAAACTCTATGAGGTTGACATGGAGGCGGTTCGGTGTGGGAGGTCTGACAGGGAGTCAGACCATTGAGACTTTAGGTTTCAGAATTCATGTGAGATAGGATTGGTTTTAATCAAGGAAGTGTGGTTTCTCTCTTCATCGGGCTTGAAGAACTATTCTAAGGATGGTTTTAATAATTCTGGATTGGCTGTTGTATGTTCAGAGTTGGAAGTGTTATGTTTGTTCTGTTATTCGTTTAGAGCTTAACATGGAGTTGTTTCAGCGTTGGCGGTCTGTCGGGGTGTTAGACCATGATAGATTTCAGGTCTAAGAAAAATAGAAGTGGTTTGCAGAGGCTGAAGGTTTGATTGTTGTCCTCGGGATGGAAGTTTCGGTTGTCTAGGGAAGATTGTCTTATGCACATAATTTTTGGTTGTGTTCCTCAAGTTGTTTGTTTTGATATGAGTGTTAGTCAGGAGCGATTTCGAGGACGAAATCTAATTCAAGTGGGGAGAGTTGTAACACTCGGAATCTAGAAGATCAATTATGGAATAAATCCCCTTTTCTAATGACCAACTCGTCGAGTTGATGGTGGGCAACTCGACGTGTTGGAGGCTTTTGGGTCACACATATTTATGGACCAACTCGGTGAGTTGGTGAAGGAAACTTGACGAGTTGGATGCTGATTGAGAAACCCTAATTTTAGGGTTTTGCACCTTATTTAAACACCTTAAGTCCAAGGTGTTAGCCTCATTCCCATCCTCCATAGCCCCCAACCCTAATATCGAAACCCTAGAGCCTCCTTGAGTGTTGTGAGCTCATTATGGGTGTGTTTTGGTGTGTTTCAAGCTCATTGAAGGAAGAGAATCTCAGTGCAAGGTGTTGGTTCAAGTAGGAGCTTTCAGATCTTGATTCTTTGCTCCATTTCCAGCATATTTCAGGTATAAAGTTCTAACCTTGCTTAATATTTGCTTAGATCTCTTCTTGGGTTAGATTGTATGCTTTTAGCCATGGATGGGTGGTTGATGGGGAAGTAGAAGTCCCAAGTGTTTATTCTTTCAGATCTATGATCTTCATGAGCTCTTTTGGCATAAAGGTGCCAACTTTATGGGTTTAAGGACTTCATGTATCCATTAAGTCTTTCATTTAGCCCTTTTTGAGCTTTTGAGCACCTTCTAGTCATGCTTAAGATAAAGATGGAAACTTTACGTGGCTATCTAGCCTTATAGGGTCAAGTCTTGGGGTATTGTCTTGGTTGATTAAGTGCTTAATGGATAAGCCCTCACTCGTTTGAGTCCAGGGTTTGGGTTTAGACCCCTTTAAATGGTTCCTAGGGGTAAAGTTGGAAACTTTACCCTTCTTGATCTCATATTGGTTGAAATCTGAGTTGTGGAGTCCTTGGAGTCGATAATGTTGACTTAATGTATTAAGATGTGAGTTTCTGGCGAACTCGGTGAGTTCATGGATAAACTCGGCGAGTTGGCTCGACTTTTCCCGATTTCACAGATTGTTAGTTGAACTCTACGAGTTAAAGGATAAACTCGGCGAGTTGGGTCAACTCAGGCTGTTGACTTTGACTTTTGACTTTAGCCTTTGACCAAGTTATTCTAAGGGGGTATTTGAGGTAATCAGATTTGTAATCAAGAAAATTATGGGCTTAGGATAAGACCTATATGGGTTGGGCCCAATTTAGAAAATTGGGCCATTAGTTGTCCTTTGTGGATCTTTTGGAATTGGGCCTCAGCTTTGGTTCATGTTGGGTCAGGGGTAAAATGGTTATTTTACCCCAAGTAAGGATTATGGATTATAGTTTGGGACCAAATTGCTAATTGGGTGTATTGTTGGTAATGATAGTTTGGGAAGCCGGCGGGGCAGTAGCTAAGGATTTTTTTCAGTGAGCTTCTGCATTCAAGGTGAGTCTCCTCACAGTTCTAGGGGTCGAAGGCACCAATGCCGGCCCAACTGGTTTATGAACTATAGGAAGACCCGAGGGATAGCCTTGGGCATATTGTATGGAAGACCAGGAGGCGGCTCCTGGCAACTTGTATGCAAGAACAGAGTGTGAACTCTGTCAATTATTAGTTATGTAGTTATAGATCGTATGCTAGTTGTCTTTGTGATGCTTGCATGGAAGACGAGGAGGTGGCTCCTGGCACTTGTCTGTAAGACCCAGGGTTTTGGCCCCCGGCCTGGCAAGGAAGACCACGAGGCGGCTCGTGGCATAATACCAAGACTATGGTTGGCACACAACACTCTTATTCATTATGGTATATGAATTATATGTATGGCTCACGGTTATCTATGACATGTATGGTTCGTTTAATATGTATGGTATGTGGTATTTGGGGAACTCACTAAGCTTTGTGCTTACGGTTTTCAGTTTATGTTTCTGGTACTCCAGTTTTCAAATGAAAGAGCTCGGGACGATCGCAGCGCATAAACCCGTGTTTTCCGCAATATGTGATCTTTAGGAATGAATTCTGATAAATGTTTTATTTGAAATGCTTTTTCAATGTTTGAACAAAGCTACAATAGTGTTTTAATTATAATAAAAATGAATTTTTTACCCTTGATTTTTGGAATGTTACACTAACTTTGGTGTAAACTAAAATGACACATTCTTACGTTCCCGAGCTTATGAGGAATATTGGATGTTGTTGGAAACATTCACACAAAACTTAATGCGATATTTCAATCAATTTCTAAGAGTTTGTTTAAAGTAGGTTAGTAAGGTTAGGTTTAATTCAAAGAGTGTGTTTTGATTAAGCAATTTGGTGAATGGAAGATGCTAGAGCTTGTTAGTATCTTCAAGTACCAACATAGACTAGAATTGACATTGATTCATCATTAGCTTGCATTGTGTTTACTTTTGTTTCTAGTATTTGTGTTACCATATTTCATTTTAGTTTTACTATTTTTCAAAACCCTCTGTATCTTTACTTTTTATGCATTTGAATAAAACCATGACTATTTCAGCATTTTGGTTTATTTATTAATTAAAATTGAGTCCCTGAGGATTGACTCTGTTTGCCACTTTTACTATTATTTGTAAATCATATTAATACAAATATGACTTATTGTTTGATGGATTCGACACTCATCAAGACTATTCATATGTTGGCTCCTAGAGAGGTTGGTTGCTAACAATTTCATGACCATAAAGGGTTGCACGAAGAACTCGGCCGAGTTATATCGTAGACGATTTGCTGAAATTGTATGGGTGCAGAGTAGTTGGGGCGAATTTGACATTATATTGTTAATTAAAATTATTTAACTTTAAGGTCCTTTAACTTTATGTAATTGTCACTTTTTGCAATAGATTTAAGAGTTTTTATACATTTGTATTTTAGGGTATGTTTTTGAAATTTTTATTTTTTTCGGAAACCGTATAAATTTTAATGATAATTAAACCACTTAACCATAATTAAACAATTAACCATAAATAACAAAAACCATATAATAATAAACTCCATAATGTAACTCCGGAATGAGGTTCCAGACTTATCTCCGGAATTCCAAACATATCTCCGAATTTTTTATTTTGGACAATATGATCATTTAAAAAAATGGTTACTTTTATCAACAAAAACATATAAATGGGTTAAATTACTTAATTTCCTTTTTAAAAAACATTTAAAATTATCTCAAACTCAATTGGACAAGATGGCCATGCGCCCCTATATATTAAATATATAATGCTCCAACTTCCATAACATTGATCATATCCGCCCTTGTATACTAATATAGATGCGCCATTTTCCATCCTGGTCTGCATAGTTTGGTATTATTTTTGAGCCCTATCAATATCATTCGTTCTCTATAATCTTCCGATAAGCTTATGTCGATTTCTTTTTTCTTTTATTGCAACTTATATATACAGTGTTTTCTACTAATTCTTTTATGCTCCTTTATCTTCCAACGTAATTTTGTTCAACAAAAAATGTTGCTGAGATCTGAATATTTTTATTTGTTTCTGCTGAGATTGCGAGCAGGTGATCAGCATGACTTTCGTGGTGAGATGAAAAAGTTTTAAAGTTCAATAAAAAATAGTTGATGATTATGAGTTCACAATTGGGTTTCCTTGAACCAACAATCTCATTTTCAGTATTTTTTTTTATTTAATTTTTATCGTTATATACTTCAATACTTGTCGCGATGTGATCGAGTTACCTAACAGTAGAATATTTTATTTTGGTTTTATTTATAAGTTATATGAATTTACGTATAATTTATTACTGACAATATCTGATCCACATTAAAATATGAACTTTTTGATGTTATTGATGCATGATATCCCTGAAAACTATTGGCGACTCCCTGCATTTTTTTTTTCAAAGATGGAACAAAGAGATTGGAACGAGTTGCCCATTCACTGTCTCGTTGAGATTTTTGGGAGAGTCGGAATTGAATCACTCGTAGAGACTATCCCTTTAGTCTGCAAGTATTGGTATGATGCTACATTCTATCCTCAATGTTGGGAACAACTCATCTTTACTAAATCCCGCTGTTTACAATGTTCCAAACCTCCCAAGCCGAGATTGGAATTAGACGAGGATTCATGGTCAGATCTTTGTCTCATGATGCCACTTGACTATACCAAGTATGCCGATGATTCTGTAGACAAGTTCCTTCAATTTGCAATCAAGCGTAGCCATGGACTTGTAACCACGATTGTGTTTCACCCTGAATCGCTTTTGAAAGCAGGCCAAATTGCATGGATGGCTCAAAGGTAAGTTGATTCAATAGCAAAATCATTAGATATGACAAAATGGGTGTGCATTGTAATTGTTTAAATGGCTTCGTGTCAAGATTATTGAATTTATATATGGGTCAAAAACAACAGTCGTGGAATTGGTCTGTTAACACGATTACACAATAGTTAAATTCACACTTCTACGATTTAGTGCCCTATACCTTAACCCCTGTATTGTTTATCCTTTTTTGATATGTAGATGTCCCTCTTTAAAGCAATTGGTTTTACCAAGGTATTTGAGCTATGTGATTAACTTTGAAGTCTCAAACTCTATCTGCAACTGGAAAGAATTAGAGGCTTTACAAATTGCGTCCTTGATCGGATTGAAGAAAACCATTGCCAACATTAGTAAACACTGTCACAACTTCAATCATTTAAGCATTTATGTTCCATGGCTCGATGCAGATGTGGCTTTAGCCATAGCGTCCCAACTGCCACACATTAAGACTCTAGATTTAAGGTTGTCGGCCATTGAAAGGAACGATTTAATCGTGATCCTAAAAGGGTGCCAGGAACTTGAGCAGCTCGATGTGAGCAAGTTTAAAGGTGTGGCTGGCGATCAGGAGGTACAGGAACTTGCAAGTCGTATTCGTGTATTTAAACACGAGGGATCTCGTGCTTCTTGTCTTCATCAATAATATAGTTGTCGTAATTGTAGTTGGCATGAAGTCAAAACGTTAATTAATATGACGAGTTATTTATAATAATTAAACTTTTATCATGCATAATAATGAAGTTAAATTATAGGAGGGGTAATTTGCGTACTTTGTTCCAAACCTAGCGCCTCATAAACTGGATTTTTAATTAAATTAGGTTTTAACTCGGTAATAGATCATGAACTCGAACATATGTGAAAAAATATAAAAATGGTTAAAATGCTATGACCAAAAGTACAATTATATTCCAACTATCGATTTTGTTACCAGCATTGTTCTTTGGTTTTATTTTATTGCGGTTTTTGTAAACCAATATCTAAGTATAACTACAAATTGGTCACCAAATGACTTTTTTTCCAGCGGTACCCGATATTGTCTTTATTTGTTAAGGTTGAGGTTCAAGTCCCAGTGGACTCGGTGAAATTAAGGTTTAGTTTAGAAATAGAACTATAACTATTAAATGTTTAATTTTAGGAAAGCTAATTTTATAATTAACCAGCAAACTATTTTTTCATCATAAAACATGATTCTTATACAAAAAAATGTATCATTATAACTTAAACAACTGGAACAGTTGTGTTTACAAAAAAAAATTATTTTGATTATTTTAATGGTGCGTTCTGAAAAAAAATTCTTGCAGTTATACAATATTCTTTTTAAAACAACGATGTTATATAAAAATAAATAGTTAGTTACTAATACAATATTTACCAATTTTAAAAGGCGTATTTAGCAAAATATAATTATCTATAATATTTTGACCATCTTTTTAACAAAATATAAAAAAAAACACCTACTTCAAAACGTTAACAATTTGTCTTTTGTTTAGATTAATGACCTAGGATAGTAAGGACCTTTAGTTTTGTCTATATTTTGACAATCATTTTTTTTTGTACGTTTCACCATTAAACTTGTTTAACCTGTTCAAAAAAATGTATTATGACTAGTAATTACCGTTGATATTACCCTATTATAAACAGGTCAAACAAGTTTATTGGTCAAATATGTACGAAAAAAACATGATTATCTAAATGTAGAAAAAAAAAACCAAAGTTTAGTACCCGTTTTCGTAATATTGGGTTCTTTATGCTAAGTGAAAGTAGTCATAAGACCCACTGCTGTGACATGAAACCGGCCATCAGGTCTTTTTGTTTGATCTGAAGTAGGTGTCGTTCGTGGGTTCCTGAATTGATTTCTAGCTGCATCAGTGAATGAAATTTTTAGAACCGTCTTAGGGATTGAACCCTAGGAGCATGCTTCAGCAATCAAGTTAGATCGATGTGTATGAGGAGATGGTTTCTCCTGGATGGAGAACCATCTTGGTGGAAAAAGTGTATACATACAGTGAAGACTCATGTATGAGAATGACAAATCCTCCTCTTGGAGAAGGAGGTTTTCTATTTATAGATCTAGGATAATGGACAATCAGGTTAGGGTTAGGTTATCCCAGTTAAACCCCAGCCAGTCGTGGGCTAGGTTATGCTTCCATGCCTCTAAAGCGCACACAACCTAGCCCCTTATGCGCACACCTCCTAGCCTCTATCTACTTGGGTCTAAATTGGGTTGGCCCAAGACTTGACGATCTCTTCATACACATCGATGTAACTTGATTGTCGGAGCCTGTTCTCGGGTTATGGTCCCTAAGGCGGTCTAATGGTTTTGTTCTCTGATGGCAGCTAGGAATCAAGTCGGGAACTCACTAACGACACCTACTTCGGATCTATCATCTAAATTTGACACTAAGACCTGATGACATGATTCCATGTCAGATCAGTGTGTCTTATGACTACTTTTCCTTAGCATAAAGAACCTAATATTACCAAATGGGTAAGGAACTTTGGGTTTTCTACACATTTAGGTAACCATGTTTTTTTCCAACACATTTCAACAGTAAACTTGTTTGACATATTCATAAAAGGGTAATATCACAAGTAATTACGAGCCATATTCCCTATTTTGAATAGGTAAAGCAAGTTTAATTTTCAAACGTGTATGGAAAAATCATGATTAACTAAATCTGAACAAAAACCAAATTTGTTTACCCTCCATAGTCATTAAACCATTTTGATTCTCCCTTACATCTTCTTTCCTGTGACATCCCCTAATTTCTCGGCCAGAAAAGACCGATTTAATTTATGCTTTTTAAAATAAAGTCAGAGAAATCCTTGTAAAAGATGTTGCGGAATTGGTCCCCAAAACAAAACATGATAAAAGTTTATCAAAATCTTTCTTTAAAAAATATATAATTTCATTTCATATCAAAACCTCGGGATGTCATGTTCCGATACATATCAAAAGCATAAACAAGACATTATAAGCCTTACAACATTTATTTACAACTATTGGCCTATAATCCAAAAATCTCCCATCTTCCTCCGACTATGCTCGGGGTCCACTACCTGTAACATAAAAAGCTAAGTGGGTCAGGCTTGGGAGCCTGGTGAGCATATAGGGTTTTCAACCCACAATAATAATAAACTTATTAAGTTCACCAATCAACAATAACCCTGATTACCCATTCCCGTTGTCCTCACTTTACGTCCCTAAACACCTCTCACAAGGGACCTAGCCTAAGGAATATCATCGGGACGGACACTACTTCTAAGGGGACTCCTCAGCCATACATGTCCTAAAGGCAACCATGAGAGGGATGGAGTACGTCAATGAACATTTAGTTCACCAACACCTACAAGTTGCGAACATGCTAGTGTTCCACTGAACTGTCTAGAAAGGTCTGTGGTCGTCATCTATACTCCGCTAGACGACTACAACAACAACAACAACAACAACAACATCGAGGCCTCTCACCATTTTAACACACATCGACTATTTCGTCTACCCATGTTCTACCCAACATATTTGTAGATAAAATACATATACAGTTTAAAACTTGTATAAAACATCTATTCAGCAGTCACCTCAATTAAACAATTAATATAATTACACATAGCACGTATTTTAAGGTAAATACTTCATATCTAGGTGTAAGGAGAAAGTGACTACACACTCACTTGATTTAATGATAATCGGGAAGCACTTCGTTTCCTAAAACGATCGTTTCTAATAAAACCGGGAGTTTTATTGAGAAACCGGACTCTGCGAGGGTTGGGCTTCAAAACCGAAAAGATAAATTTCTCGGGCTTCTCGGGCACTTCGGGACGTGTTTCGGGTGTTTTGGTATAGTACCGGGGCTTTGGGGGAAGTTGGAATGAAAGAAATATTGAAAGAGGGGTGAAAGGTGGCAATTTTTCAAAGTACCACCGGGAGGTCTCGCACCCTTCTATTTATAGGGGCGAGGCTTCTGATCCAAGGGCTGAGAAGACTCCACGCGGCAGCAGATCCGAAGCGAGGGCAGGTGGCTCGCACGTGCGAGGGGTGAGTTGCTGGCCTCTGATTGGACCGATGTCTAGGTCCGAGGGTTCAGTCGTGGCGCCTGCGAAGCTCGGACAGGTGGTGCGACACGCGTCGGTGCGAGGTGAGGTGGCTTCGGATGCGAGGAGTCACCTGGGCACGCGTCGGATGACTCAGCATTTTCGGATACGTGGCACGCATGCAGCGAAGGTGACGTGGCCGAAGTCCACCATGCGAAATTTCTCAGATTTGACATTTTTTTCTCGATTTTTGTGCCAAAACTTCTAAAATCCGTAACTTTTGCATACGGGCTCCGTTTTTGACGTTCTTTATATGCACCCGTAGGTAAAATTACGCTCTACAACTTTCGTTTAGACTTCGTCGGCTAATTTTGAGTTTAATTTTTATATTATTATTTTTTACAGACCCCGGGACAGGAAATCCGTTAAAAATTCATAACTTCTTCATCCGACGTCCGTTTTCGTCTGTCTTTTTACCGTTGTACTACTATTGACGAGACCTTCGATTCTTGTTTAGGTTGTATCGGCTAAAAATCACTCGATCTAAAATTCGAGTTTTTAGCTGTCTACTGTTAAGCTGAAACTTAGAAAAATCATAACTTCATCATACGAAGTCAGATTTGGACGTTCTTTTTATACATACTCTCGGTTTTTAACGAACACTAAGACTTTTGTTTAGATCACTAAGGCTAAAAAGTAGTTTATCAAAAACTCACTTTTTACGTCATTGGGCACCGTGCCGGTTTTGTCGCGAAACTTCGACAGGTCATAACTTTTTCGTTATAACTCGGATTTCGGTATTCTTTATATATCCGTAATCCTTGTCACGACCACTACAACTTTCTTAATAGATATCGGCTTTATCTAATATTTATTTTCGACGCTCATTTTTATTCTTAATTAATTAAATCCTAGTAATTAAGCATAAAACACATAATTCACATAATATTCACATAATTCCTTTTCATTTCTTCAAAATGAGTTACAAAGGTTAACCTAGACTATCACATCAATATTAATGCCTAGCCTAGAAACACGGGCGTTACAATTCTCTCCCCCTTAGGATGATTCCGTCCCCGAAATCACACATCAACAAACAAATGCGGGTAGCGACTCATCATGTCACTCTCCGTTTCCCAGGTGAGATTTGGCCCATTCGTATGTTTCCAACGCACAAGCACTAAATCGACCATCTTGCGTCGCAACTTCTTAGTCTTACGGTCAACGATTGCCTCAGGTTCTTCAATTAACCTCTTGTTTTCATCCAACCTTAATTCAGAAATGGGAATTATGTCGGGCACATCTCCCGTGAACTTTCTCAAATAACACACATGAAAGGTGTTATGAATACCCTCCAGTTCTTCCGGTAATTGTAGCTTGTAAGCTTGATTCCCGATCCTCTGAAGAACTTTAAACGGTCCAATAAACCTTGGACTCAATTTTCCCCTTTTACCAAATCTTATAAGTCCCTTCCACGGCGAGACTTTAAGTAAAACCGAATCTCCAACTTCGAATGATATCAGTTGTCTTTTCTTGTCAGCATAACTCTTTTTGTCGATCTTGAGCTGCTAACATCCTTTCCCTAATCACTTTCAACTTTTCAGCAGTTTGATGGACTATTTCGGGTCCCATAAACTGCTTTTCTCCAGCTTCCAGCCAACATG